AAAAGAGGACCTGATGCCCAGGGCTTGTGGAGAGCAAATGTTTTGAGAATGATGAGGGCAATGAATGTACAAACGTGTGTTACACAATTGATGTATGTATGGATTGTGATAAGAGTTGTATGAGCCCCTAATAAAACGATTAAAGAAATGCAGTCATATGCCAAATTTAAATGTTTTTGCTGTCAAAAAGTGGAACAAGAACAAAATTTGAATTTAGTAATTATTTGGCTACAAAGAACTTTCCATTTATTTATTTATTTATTTCAGCTATTGGTGATGGTTTCTCTGCCATCTTGGTGTATATGCAGGAGCAAGGAAAAACTAACGAACTGACTGCTTTGTGGTGGTTGTTAGATACCTTCATTTCTGACTCACATCGACTCTATGTACAATAGGAGAAGACTGTCCAGCCCTGCACTGTCCTCACAACCGTTGCTATGTTGGAGTCCGTCATTGCAGCCACGGTGTCATTCCATCGTACTGAGAGTCTTTTTCTTTTTCACTGACCTCTGCCTTACCAACCGTGATGTCTTTCTCCAGGGACTAGTCCTTTCTGATAACGTTCCCAAATTAAGCAAAATGAAGTAAGTCTCTCCATCCGCACTTGTAAGGATCATTCTGGCTCTAGTTCTTCCAACACAAATTTGTCTCCTTCTGACATTTCAAGGCATAGATTCAGTATCTTTTACAAAGACAACATTTTAATTCAAATATATCATTCTTCCTTACTCATTGTCCAGCTTTCACATAAATAGGAGGTGCCTGAAAAAACCATGGCTTGAGTCAGACACCAGGTCAACAATATAAACCACCAGCTGCTTTGTAGGACACAGATGAGGCAGTCTGCTCCCAGGAAAATTTACAGCCACGGAAATCCTAATAAGCAGTTCTTCTCTGCCCAATAGGGTTAACTGTTCAAGCCAGAATCAACTCAATGGCAGTGGGTTGCGTTTGGGTCAGGCGCACCTTCATCTTCAAGGTGAGATCTTTGCTTTGGAACACTTTAAAAAGGTTTTACCTAGCAACTTTCCCAAAAGCAATACATCATTTAAATGCTTGACTGCTGCTCCAATGGACATTGATTGTGAATGCAAGTGAAATGAGATCCATTTACCACGATGTTGTCTATTGGTCCACTTATGAGGATTTGTTTATCTACATTGAGCCATAATCCATATGAAGTCGTAAACCACATTTACTTGATCTTCATCAATAAATGCTCTTCACTTTCAGCAAGCTAATCCGTGCCATCTGCACATCGCAGGTTAATGAGTCTTCCTCTTTTCCCAAGGCTGCCACCTTCTTCCTTTAGTCCATCTTCTTGGATTACATGCTCAGCATGTAGACTGATTAAGTACAAAGAGGACTAAAAAAGTTCATGAAAAGGGGAGAATTAAAAGATTCTTTTTCCATAAACTTTTTGAAGCCCCTTTGTATGGTGAAAGCATACAGTGCTGACACACACTGTTCCTGATTTTAA